CTACGAAGCTCTAGGTGCTCTTACTGCCTATTACAGGGAAAACCAACTGATCCCTAATCCATCCAAAACACCGACTTTTCATCTTTTTCATCTCAAGCTCTGAGGATTACCTGGAAAGGAATCCCACTGGAGCGCTTACGAACCATCTAGGAACTTAATATCGTCTGGAGAGGCCCTGCTCTCGTTACTGCCTTCATCACAAGTGCAGTTGGTGGGGACGAGGGAGAGGGCTTTTTCGTGATGGCCCCACAACTTTGGAACTCCCTCCCCAGGGAGATTAGGCAGGCCCCCACACTGTCCATGACTTGAAGACATGGCTCTTCAATCAAGCCTTTGAGAATATTTAGCCCCAAGTTGTCCTGCCTAATGGGCTCCCCGGTGATGCAGTAGGTTAAACCGTTGAGCTGCTGAACTTGCTAAGGTCACAGGTTTACGTTCAGGGAGCAACATGAGCTCCTGCTTTTAGCTCCAGCTTCTGCCAAACTAGGTAAAGGTAAAGGTTTTCCCCTGACATGAAGTCCAGTCATGTCCGACTCTGGGGTGTGGTGCTCATCTCCATTTCTAAGCCAAAGAGCCAGCATTGTCCGTAGACACCTCCAAGGTCATGTGGCTGGCATGAATGCATGGAGTATGTTACCTTCCCGCCGGAGCGGTACCTATTGATCTACTCACATTTGTATGTTTTTGAACTGCTAGGTTGGCAGAAGCTGGGGCTGACAGTGGAAGCTCATGCTGCTCCCCGGATTCGAACCTGCGACCTTTCAGTCAACAAGCTCAGCAGCTCAGCGCTTTAACCCACTGTGCCACCAGGGGCTCTGCCAACCTAGCAGTTCGATGTGGCCGGCACGGCTGCAAGGAGCACCGTTACCTTCCTGCCGGAGCAGTACCTATTGATCTACTCACATTTGCATGTTTTGGAACTGTATCGGCAAGGTCTTTAGGCACTGCACCCAGTGTGCCGATCACCACTGGGACCACCTGTACTGGTTTGTGCTAGAGTCTTTCCAGTTTGGTCTTTAAATCCTCATATCGTGTTAGCTTTTCCAGTTGTTTCTCTTCAGTCCTATTATTACTATTACTATTATTATTATTATTATTATTATTATTATTATTATTATTAGAAACACTATTAATATAATATAATATAATATAATATAATAATAATATTATGTTATATATTATTATTATTATTACCACTGTCCTAGAATATGTAGAATGGATGCAGTTTGATCCCATTTAACTTCCCAGGCTCATTGCTATGGTATTCTGGGAATTATAGTTTGGGAAGTTGGTCCAGATATATAAAGCCAGCCAGGTACAGAGCTGCCTCTTTCAGCTAGACTTCGGATTTGCAGCAGCACTCTTTGGCACACAAGGCAGACAGCCTGGTCAAACTACAACTCCCATGATGCTCTTACTGCCTATTACAGGGAAAACCAGCTGATTCCTAATCCATCTAAGTTTCATCTATGCTGACGATCGTGCCATCACCGCTCAAGCAGGGAGCTTTGAAATGGTTGAACAGAAGCTCTCCAAAGCTTGAGGTGCTCTTACTGCCTATTACGAGGAAAACCAGCTGATTCCTAATCCATCTAAGTTTCATCTATGCTGACGAAGCTCTGAGGATTACCTGGAAAGGAATCCCACTGGAGCGCTTACGAACCATCTAGGAACTTAATATCGTCTGGAGAGGCCCTGCTCTCGTTACTGCCTTCATCACAAGTGCAGTTGGTGGGGACGAGGGAGAGGGCTTTTTCGTGATGGCCCCACAACTTTGGAACTCCCTCCCCAGGGAGATTAGGCAGGCCCCCACACTGTCCATGACTTGAAGACATGGCTCTTCAATCAAGCCTTTGAGAATATTTAGCCCCAAGTTGTCCTGCCTAATGGGCTCCCCGGTGATGCAGTAGGTTAAACCGTTGAGCTGATGGGTTTGGGGGGAAATAGACCTTGACATTTGGGAATTGTAGTTGCTGGGATTTATAAGTAAATGTAAAGATTTTCCCCTGACATTAAGTCCCGTCATGTCCGACTCTGGGGATTGGTGCTTATCTCCATTTCTAAGCTGAAGAGCTGGCATTATCCATAAACACCTCCAAGGTCATGTGGCCAGCATGACTGCAAGGAGCGCCGTTACCTTCCCGCTGGAGTGGTACCTATTGATGTACTCCCATTTGCATGTTTTTGAACTGCTAGGTTGGCAGAAGCTGGGGTGACAGTGGAAGCTCATGCTGCTCCCCGGATTCGAACCTGCGACCTTTCAGTCAACAAGCTCAGCAGCTCAGCGCTTTAACCCACTGTGCCACCAGGGGCTCTGCCAACCTAGCAGTTCGATGTGGCCGGCACGGCTGCAAGGAGCACCGTTACCTTCCTGCCGGAGCAGTACCTATTGATCTACTCACATTTGCATGTTTTGGAACTGTATCGGCAAGGTCTTTAGGCACTGCACCCAGTGTGCCGATCACCACTGGGACCACCTGTACTGGTTTGTGCTAGAGTCTTTCCAGTTTGGTCTTTAAATCCTCATATCGTGTTAGCTTTTCCAGTTGTTTCTCTTCAGTCCTATTATTACTATTACTATTATTATTATTATTATTATTATTATTATTATTATTATTAGAAACACTATTAATATAATATAATATAATATAATATAATAATAATATTATGTTATATATTATTATTATTATTATCACTGTCCTAGAAT